ATACTCAGCCTCAGATCGGAAATGAAGTCGTGACAAATCTTCTCTTCCAGAAACTCTACGTTGACTTCCTCGGGAAATACCCCCGGTCTAAAAGTGGCAACGCCTTTATATTTATAGTGGTGGACCACTTCAGCAAATTTACATTTCTTAAGGCAATGAGAGAGAGCAACAGCTTCCAATGTGGTAAAATTTATGGTTGAGAATATATTTCGTAAGTTTGGCGTACCCGAGACGATACATTCCGACAATGGGGCACAGTTCGTATCTAAAACTTTCAAAGACATGATTGAAACATATGGAATCAATCATATCCAAACAGCTCCATATGCTCCGCAGTCTAATGCATATGAGAGAGTCAATCAATCAGTATTGGCGGCGATTAGGGCATATCTAGAAAATGACCACAGAGATTGGGACGTGTATCTAACAGACATAGAGTGCGCCTTAAGAACATCGATTCATACTGCAACTGGTGTAACGCCATTTTTCGCGCTGTTTGGTCATGGTATGTACACCCATGGTTCAGATTATAAATTAGCTCGGAAGCTCCACTCATTGGCGGACCATGAAATTATACATTTAGATCGTAACGACAAGATGGAACGACAGAATATGCATCAGGCTTATCAACAAACCGCTAAAAGGTATAACGCAAGGGCTCGTACGATTATTTTCTCTTCGGGTCAAGAGGTATATAAAAGAAACTATGTTCTTAGCGATTTTGGTAAAAATTTTAATGCTAAGTTTGCCCGGAAATTTACGAAGTGTCGCATAGTAAAGCCTATAGGAAATAATATGTATTCTCACGAAGATCTAAATGGAAAGGCGATTGGAATCTGTCATGCAATAGATCTTAAAAGATAAGTGAAAAAGAAAGTCTTTTCAATCCCTTTCCCAATTCAATTTTTATAAAAAGAATTCTAAAATAAGTTTCAAAAACTATTTCACATTTGTTAGCAATTCTATTTCATATTTATCAGCAATTGTTTAATTCAAAATCGAATGAATCAAAACAAAACAGAGAAAATGTTTCTGAGGAAGCTAAATACGATAGTAAAATCACCTTCGTACAGAATTCATTCGTATTAAGGTTCAAAAATATCAGCTGATGTGTTCCCCTAATTTGGTAATTCAAATTAATCAGATTCTAGTTTCACGTTTATCTCAGCTATCTAATTTCTTTTACAAAATATCCTACGCGACATACAAATTTGAAAAAATGTATTTAAACACCCCCCGGTGGCGATAAAAAAGCACGATCTGGTTTATTCCGGCATAAATTAATGAAAGATTCCCATACATAAAAAGCGAACATACATAAAACTACATTCTACCAGACAATCACGTAGACACCACGATTACGGTATTTGTTTACCTATCAATCACATCAGCATATACCGCATACAAAATCCGTTCTTCGGCAACCACGACGACAAGATAGACATAAGCACAAATATTTCCGCATGCAAAATGTTTCACCACCTATTAAGGAATGAAAGTTATTAAATGTTCAAAACAAACAAAAAAAGTACCAGTTGGATTTTCCGACAGATGTAAACCCTAAATTGGGCGAACATATATGTGGAGCTATATCTAGATCTAAACTGATTTCAATAATAGTACAATAAGTAGGTAGAACAGCTTCGGAAAATTACCGAAATACATTCCTAGGGCTATGCCCGCATTCTGCCAAAATACTTCAAAATTGTATACGACAAAATGTTTTGATATTTGTTGTTATTTTTTTGAATGCGTTATTGAATGCACGGATTTTCTTCCAAAAATGTGATCCAAACTGTTTAATCCTTCAATTCCAGGACAAAACAGGTTAATATTTTTAACGCCGGCCACGCAGTATTCGTTTTTCCAAACATTGATTTTGAAAATATTTTTTTTTTATTTTCAAAACAAATAATACATACACAATAATGACAGAAGTCGAACACACTTGGAAATTGTAATCAGCTTTTAGCTCTACCTTACTTTTTTATTGTACCATGATTTCAATAATTTGATCAAATTATTTGTGTATCAAAGTACATATAGATTCCAACTTTGAAGATTATATCCATAACCAAGAAGAATGTGTGAAATTTTGATGGAATCGGAGAATTTTTCATTTAGAGCTGTTGGGTATTACCAGTGTGGATCCGCCGGAGAGGACAAATATATTCCAACTCCACACAAGGTCTTGGGTTGATAGAATTATTGGGTTGTTCCGGATGTTTACCTTTTTGTAGTGAAGGTCCCAAAGGAGTGGGCCGATAAATCCCATCCGTTCCTCTGAGCTTGTCTTAGTAGAAATACTGAATGCGGGATTTTATAAATAACCGAATGCGTATTTTAAAATTTATGAGCGTTTTTGATCTTCCCAAATGTTGACCTGCTATAGGGGGATTACCAGCGAGTTTCCCGGACTCCGAACTCGATCGATGTTTGGTAGTGACACGATATTTTCAGGGTGTCGATCGAGAATTATCAGGCGAACCAGCAAGACTTGTTTCACAGATCTGATGGACAGATTAGAAAAATAAATTAATTTATGTGGATCTATTTCGATGGGGGATACTTACCAGCATGAGGGGGAGGGGTTAGACCAGCCTGCTGTTCGGAGCTTATGCCCGGCATGAGACCTTCAGGGAGTGGGAAGTCCCCACGTAAATGAGTTATGCGGCCGTGCACATCACCTCCGTCCTCGATTTTCTGGCCGAAGTTGAAGTTTTGTTGCAGGCCGTTCACATACGGCGCAAAAAGGCAACAAATATATGGGGCCGTGTTTTTTGGCAAAATATGTCTACAACCACCGCAGAAATTATCCCAATTATGTTGGTAGTGCATCCCATAATTGGTTCTCAAATGGATTTGCTCAGTTTTCCTGGGATTTTAGTGAGGATGCTTCGAGATTTCAATTTGCTTGTAATTTCTGGGGTGTGTGTAGGTAGGGTGGGCGAGTGTGGGATCGATCCACCGAGATCCCTGTATGATGACTCCTATTTCGTGTATTGTAGAGTAGAGCAATTGTAGTAAAGTCCCCTTTCAATGTTAGTGTGTTGGATTCGATTGGCGGGTTGAGATCCCTGGCCCTGGAAGTCTCTGTGACAGTTTGTCTAAAAATTGTTATTTGTATGTCATAATGGGTCCTAGCTTCGGTGGCGGAACATAGTACATATGTGGATCCACGTTTTCGTATATCCTCCCTATATTGGTACCTTCCAATATTTGGCGTTTTGATAATTTTTGCCACATTTTTCACAGATTTGTCTAAAAATTAGTTCTACCTCCGGTGGCCATATATTGAATATTTAGGTCCACGTTTTCCGTTTCGATGTACGATATATTGATAATCTAGTCACATTTCGGCCCGGCCGAACTTTATGTTTCTTTACTTGTTTTTATTTCCATTAAGACTCATTTTGTAAAATATAAATTTTCTGGAGTGTGTAAAGTAATATGTAATACATTGTTGTAAAACCAAAAAAAAAAAAAAAAAACTTTCACTTTTGTAAGTCCTTTTTGGGTATCAAAAGCATTCTACTTAGATTTAAATTTATCTGGCCAAAATGTAGTTAATTTTTCAGCAAAATGTATTCATACCAAACTCATTAAATTGTGTATGGAAATCCAAGGATTATAAATCCATCCTTATTTTCTTCTAACAAATTTAACTTGGGACATATGTATTTTACCGACATCATCTCCCAAAACGTTATGACAAAAAGCAAAGAAAGTAATGCAAACTCTTGCCTTGGATATACCTAATAGGTCTTAATATTTGAATATTCGGTGGATGAACTGAGGACGTACCTGGAAATTGTATGTTTAAACATTTCTTAACCAAGTATATCAAACAATCAGAATCACTGCTTAAAAAGTATTGACAAACAACATTTTAAAATTATTGTTACTTTTTATTCTTATCTACTAAATTTATGTTTTTGTCAACAATCTGCATCATAACAATTAATTATAATGCTAATGATTATGTTTTTAATTATATTGTTTCTTGCTTTCGAGTATTTCAATTATATTGTTCTGTTATCACATGAAAGGAAAATAGAACTTTCGGTACTTCCTGATTTGGTGACATGCATATGCATAAAATCGATGGTCAAAAATAGTGTAGTAGTAGTAGTAGAAATAGAAATAGAGTAAAGCTAATACAATGAAAGAAATTTAGCTAGATTTAAATTTTACCTATGAACACACATTCTTGTTAATTGTCCTTCTTCGTAGGCGTTTGTCCAATTTATCCTTATATACTTTTACGTTAATTAATTGTTCGCAATATTTCCGAAAGCAAAAATTATCATATCGATCAATTACTCAAATAGTGGTATAATTAAAACAAGTAAAGAAACTGTAAGTTCTGACTCCTCGAAATACTCATGTCAGGCCCAACAAAGTATATATATTCTTGATCTGCGTAAAATTCTAAGTCGATTTAGCGATGTCCGTCTGTCTGTCTGTTGTAATCACGCTATCTTTCGAATGAATTAAGATAGATGGCTAAAATTTTGCACACATGTTTATTTTTCCAATAGGCAGGTTAAGTTCGTAAATGGGTCATGTAGGTCCACGTCTTCGTATAGCCCCCATATATCAGTACCTCCCTATATTCGGTATTTTCATGATTTTAGTGACATTATTCACCGGAATTGTTTGAAAATTGGTATTTGAAGTTCGTAATGAATACTACAGTCTAAGATAGAAAATTGTCTGTGCAAGTCCATGTCTTCGTATAGCCCCCATATAACGGTACCTCCTGATATTCGGTATTTTGGTGATTTTAACGACATTATTCACGGGAATTGTTACAAATTTGGTACTTGAAGCTCAAAATGGATACTACACCCTAAGGCAGAAAATTGCCTGTGCAGGTCCACGTCTTCGTATAGCCCCCATATAACTGTACCTCCCTATATTCGGTATTTTGATGATTTTAGCGACATTAGTCACCGGAATTGTTTCGAAATTAGTGTTTGAAGTTCGTAATGAATACTACAGTCTGTGACAGAAAATTGTCTGTGCGGGTCCAGGTCTTCGTATAGGCCCCATATATCAGTACCTCCCCATATTCGGTATTTTGACTGATTTTAGGTACAATACCCACCGAAATTGTTTGAAATGTGGTATTTGAAGTTTTGAAGAAATTGTAATAAAAATATGATGTAAACAAACGTGAAAATTTTGTTTTAAGATTTGCTCCCAATCTTTCAATTGACTTGCAGAGCGAATTGTCTGCAAAAATCTTACAAATAATTAACACTTAAAGCTAAAATAAATAAAAAACATATCGTTAAATTGTTGACTTACGATGAACTTAAAATAAACAAAATAAAGTACATACGTACAAATTAAAAATTGAATATGCAATAACATCGAAAAGCGATTTGCTAATAAAAACAGTGATTGCAAAAGTATGCTAATCATACATTCTCGATACCTTATGACAAAGGAAGTGACATACACAATAAAATAAAGTACTGTTGTGGGAGATCTTAAGCCTAGTAATGTAAATATCACAGATTTGTTATTTAATACTATTATCCCCTGTGCATTCCAGGTATTGTCTTGGTGAAAAAGTTTGGTGTTGAATATTGCCCAGAATCATTGTCAAATCTTACATTTATGATACCTATAGTAGAAAGGTAAGCAGCTTCTGTCCAATTTGTATTTTCTTCAGCAGTAAATAATTCATTCAACAGAATGTTGTCATGTGCAGCTAAGTTTTCTACAAATCTTTTTTGCAGGTTTAGGGTATAGCTGCAAAATGGCACAATATTGGCGGTGCTGTAAATGTGGTGGTTAGAGAACCTTTTAGTTGGATTTTGAAAGTTTTGACCAACACATTTTCTTAGAATCGTCCTCTCAAACGTCTCAATTTCTTTAGCTACATATGGCGAAATGGTGAACCAAATTGGGAATCCATATCCAATAATTGGCCGGATTGCAACTTTATAAAGTAGCAGCTTAGTATTTTGCGGCAGATAAGTATTGCACATTAATGTGGACAAACGTCCAGCAGTTATCTTGGCCTTTTTCAATGATGCTCTGGCGTGTTCATTAAATTTAAATAATTTATTTATATGTATTCCCAAATATTTGAAGGAATCTCGGAATGGAATTTCTATGCCATCCAGTAAGAGACGCAGATTCTTCGCTTCGGGAACAACGCTTCTATGACATTTCCCAGATGCGTTTCTAATACATACTGCTTCCGATTTAGATGCGTTTACTGTGATTCCCCATGTTTTATAATATTTACTTATATCGCCAAGGTGAAGAGCGGCTTGCTTTAAGGCTTCAGTGGGTGAGTTATGGTGACTATATACCAAGCAATCGTCAGCATACAATATGGCTTTTGAATTTTCTGTTTGATGGGGGAAGTCGTGAAGGAAAAGATTAAATAGAAGGGGCGACAGGACACTACCTTGAGGAACTCCACTCGATATAGATCCAAAACTGGACAGACAATCATTAATTGTGACAGTAAATTTCCTATCTGTCAAGAAATTTTGGAGAATTTTGATTAAGAATGGGTCCACACTAAGTTGTATTAATTTATAGATTATCCCCTTGTGGTACACAGAGTCGAAAGCCTTTTGAATATCAAGGGAAATCGCTACAGTGCAGATCTTTTCTCTCAGGTTACTTGTTATGTCTTCACGAAACTTCGATAATGCATGGTTTGTTGAGTGTGCCGCTTTAAAGCCAAATTGCCAGTCGGGAATCGGATGTATCACAAACTCATTCTCTAATTTTTCTCGTAGAATTCTCTCAAAAACTTTTCCAATATTGGATAACATAGATATTGGACGGAACTCTTGAGGTGTTATACTGTTTATTTTCTTCTTGATTGGTATAATTTTTGCAATTTTCCATGACTTAGGGAAGTATCCATTATTCAAACAGTTGTTGAATATAATTGTTAAGAATTTTAAAGATTCATCAGAAAAATTCTTTAGTACATAGTTTGATATTCCATCTAGACCGGACGATTTTTTTCTATTCAGACTTACAATGTGCTTTTTTATAGATGAGACATTTGAAAAGTGGTAATTGTCTGAATTGTGTAATGAATTAAATCCATCATCAAATGTGTATATATGGTTAGCAATTGGAGTGAAATAACTTTGTATTCGGGATTCAATGTTAGGTGGTGGTAACTCTGGAATATTTTCACAGAAAAAGTCGCTGTAATAGTCATGGAAGGCGTTTGAGATCTCTCCACCTGTAGTAAAAGCCACATTATCTATTTGTAGCTGTTGGCAAAATTGTGTTTTAGATTTTCCAATTAGTTTGCTGACTTGTTGGAAAGCTGATGGACTGGGTTTTATATTTTTTAATTTAGAGTTAAAAACTTTAGCCTGCTCTTTGTAAAGAAGGTCCCGTATAATGTTTTTGAGTAGCTGTATTTGTTTGGACAATATATTATATTCAAAATTTGTTCTGTTGCCATTTCGATGAAATATTTTTTTAGGTCTTTTTGCCATTGATCTTTTATTTTATAAAACCTCTTTATATTTTCAGGTAAAAGGATTTGCTGATTTTTTACTTCAATTGTTTTGCAGTGCTGTTTGTGTATGTTATGAAAGGTATTTTCAAAGATATTTATGCAATTGTCAACTTCATCATTAACAAGATTTCTGTTTGCAGGTGGTAAAATGGATTCCAATGCAGAATCAAACTGTCGACGAAACATACTCCAATCCGTGGACTTATAAGAAACAACCACTCTGGGAGTTTTGAGGACAATACCACCTGTATTGAACGAAATATCCAATTTGAGAGGGTAATGGTCAAAAAATGAGGGAATACTGGTTATTTTGTAGTTGCCTGCATCAGTATCTATCAGTTTTGAGCTGACCAAAAAATGATCCAAATAAGATGGACCATTAGGGTATGAAGGAGAAGAGTCACATATTCGAGTAACGTCTGTGGCATTATCAAGCAACCAATTGTAAAGTGTCCCAAAACATAACAAGAGTAAATTCCACATGCTTTACCTGATCCATTTTCCTTTGTTGTTCCCTATTAAAGTATGTCTGTATTTTTTTCATTAGGTTTCGTTTTTTTTTGTTATAAACCTGCAATAAAAATTTATTAATAATTGTTAATTATTTTATAAAATATTGTTTGATTATCTATCCATTGCGTCCACTTTGTTTACAAAATTTTTCACTTTGTTTACAAATTATGAAAACAGGCAATGAAGCATAATAGAGTACATTGCTGCCATGTTATTTGCAACGACGTTAATAAATAAGAACTAGCCAGCGGCTAATATAAAATAAATAAACAATGAAAAATAAATTTGTACACAATATGGAAAAAATCCGCCCAAACCACAAAATTTATCTTTTTTCCGCCCAAATTTGGACGGAAACGCCCAAAACGGCAACACTGCTTGGGAGTACGTTTTCTATCAACCGAAAAAATCGATATTATCACATATAGATAACATAATGTCGGGTTTTTGTCATGTTCTCACAGGTTCTTGAATTTCATTTAGACGTTTACAATAATTTATTTTTGTATTTAAAATACGAAAAAGAAATTATTAAATATAATAATAATTATCATTACTAGGTATAATTATTAAATAAAAGAATATATTATTAAATAATTAATAAATCATTAAATTTAACGAAGTTAATTATATTATTTAATACAGTATTATGAAGGGAACAATTTATTTCTAATTGCGATTTTTTTAATAATTTATGTTTTTTTTTTGTTACAAATCAATGAAGCAATCAATAAATAATAGGGAATGTTAAATATTTTGTCATTCCATGTAGAAAAAGCTTCTTCCCTTAAATAGACCATTCCAGAAGGCACTTTATAATAGACAAATTAAATTTGAGTCTGTCTAAAATAATTTTCTATACTTTTTCTAGAATGGACCATCTCCATATGTATCCTTGACTATTTTCTCACTGTGGTCCAAAGCTAATTTCTCCTTAGAGAGATCATATGAAATTAAAGTCTGGGTACTATGGGACTTCCTGCTGTGTTTGCTTCGTCGAAATAAGTAGTGGAAAATGGACACGACAAAGTTGTATCATTGCCCCACAGTTCTGTGTAGCGAACATTTTGCGTGTTTTTCTTGAAATTATAGTTTGATAAACCTTAAAGGACCTAAAAAGTACAAGTATAGACCATGTAGAAATCGATATAATCCATTTTTATTTTTTATCGTAATGAAATGCGTACACATCTGTCGACCGTAATGGTGCAATGTTTTTCTTTAATTTTATACGATCACTTGAATTATTTAATGCAATGCTACAATTGTACATCATTATTAGAGGTCCCTGATAGAGATAGCAATACAAAGCAATACAAATCGACAATGTATCGGTTTTATACTCTCCACCTTGTCATTCCGTTTGTAACATCCCTAAATATTCGTAATAATTTATAATAATATTTGCCGTAGAGCTTCAACATTTGGCAGAACAATATCATATCAAGGAATTAGTTCCCATGTTCGGAATTTTGATAATTTTCGGCACACTTTATCACGGATTTGTCTAAAAATTGTTATTTGTATGTCATAATGGGTCCTAGCTTCGGTGGCGGAACATAGTACATATGTGGATCCACGTTTTCGTATATCCTCCCTATATTGGTACCTTCCAATATTTGGCGTTTTGATAATTTTTGCCACATTTTTCACAGATTTGTCTAAAAATTAGTTCTACCTCCGGTGGCCATATATTGAATATTTAGGTCCACGTTTTCCGTTTCGATGTACGATATATTGATAATCTAGTCACATTTCGGCCCGGCCGAACTTTATGTTTCTTTACTTGTTTTTATTTCCATTAAGACTCATTTTGTAAAATATAAATTTTCTGGAGTGTGTAAAGTAATATGTAATACATTGTTGTAAAACCAAAAAAAAAAAAAAAAAACTTTCACTTTTGTAAGTCCTTTTTGGGTATCAAAAGCATTCTACTTAGATTTAAATTTATCTGGCCAAAATGTAGTTAATTTTTCAGCAAAATGTATTCATACCAAACTCATTAAATTGTGTATGGAAATCCAAGGATTATAAATCCATCCTTATTTTCTTCTAACAAATTTAACTTGGGACATATGTATTTTACCGACATCATCTCCCAAAACGTTATGACAAAAAGCAAAGAAAGTAATGCAAACTCTTGCCTTGGATATACCTAATAGGTCTTAATATTTGAATATTCGGTGGATGAACTGAGGACGTACCTGGAAATTGTATGTTTAAACATTTCTTAACCAAGTATATCAAACAATCAGAATCACTGCTTAAAAAGTATTGACAAACAACATTTTAAAATTATTGTTACTTTTTATTCTTATCTACTAAATTTATGTTTTTGTCAACAATCTGCATCATAACAATTAATTATAATGCTAATGATTATGTTTTTAATTATATTGTTTCTTGCTTTCGAGTATTTCAATTATATTGTTCTGTTATCACATGAAAGGAAAATAGAACTTTCGGTACTTCCTGATTTGGTGACATGCATATGCATAAAATCGATGGTCAAAAATAGTGTAGTAGTAGTAGTAGAAATAGAAATAGAGTAAAGCTAATACAATGAAAGAAATTTAGCTAGATTTAAATTTTACCTATGAACACACATTCTTGTTAATTGTCCTTCTTCGTAGGCGTTTGTCCAATTTATCCTTATATACTTTTACGTTAATTAATTGTTCGCAATATTTCCGAAAGCAAAAATTATCATATCGATCAATTACTCAAATAGTGGTATAATTAAAACAAGTAAAGAAACTGTAAGTTCTGACTCCTCGAAATACTCATGTCAGGCCCAACAAAGTATATATATTCTTGATCTGCGTAAAATTCTAAGTCGATTTAGCGATGTCCGTCTGTCTGTCTGTTGTAATCACGCTATCTTTCGAATGAATTAAGATAGATGGCTAAAATTTTGCACACATGTTTATTTTTCCAATAGGCAGGTTAAGTTCGTAAATGGGTCATGTAGGTCCACGTCTTCGTATAGCCCCCATATATCAGTACCTCCCTATATTCGGTATTTTCATGATTTTAGTGACATTATTCACCGGAATTGTTTGAAAATTGGTATTTGAAGTTCGTAATGAATACTACAGTCTAAGATAGAAAATTGTCTGTGCAAGTCCATGTCTTCGTATAGCCCCCATATAACGGTACCTCCTGATATTCGGTATTTTGGTGATTTTAACGACATTATTCACGGGAATTGTTACAAATTTGGTACTTGAAGCTCAAAATGGATACTACACCCTAAGGCAGAAAATTGCCTGTGCAGGTCCACGTCTTCGTATAGCCCCCATATAACTGTACCTCCCTATATTCGGTATTTTGATGATTTTAGCGACATTAGTCACCGGAATTGTTTCGAAATTAGTGTTTGAAGTTCGTAATGAATACTACAGTCTGTGACAGAAAATTGTCTGTGCGGGTCCAGGTCTTCGTATAGGCCCCATATATCAGTACCTCCCCATATTCGGTATTTTGACTGATTTTAGGTACAATACCCACCGAAATTGTTTGAAATGTGGTATTTGAAGTTTTGAAGAAATTGTAATAAAAATATGATGTAAACAAACGTGAAAATTTTGTTTTAAGATTTGCTCCCAATCTTTCAATTGACTTGCAGAGCGAATTGTCTGCAAAAATCTTACAAATAATTAACACTTAAAGCTAAAATAAATAAAAAACATATCGTTAAATTGTTGACTTACGATGAACTTAAAATAAACAAAATAAAGTACATACGTACAAATTAAAAATTGAATATGCAATAACATCGAAAAGCGATTTGCTAATAAAAACAGTGATTGCAAAAGTATGCTAATCATACATTCTCGATACCTTATGACAAAGGAAGTGACATACACAATAAAATAAAGTACTGTTGTGGGAGATCTTAAGCCTAGTAATGTAAATATCACAGATTTGTTATTTAATACTATTATCCCCTGTGCATTCCAGGTATTGTCTTGGTGAAAAAGTTTGGTGTTGAATATTGCCCAGAATCATTGTCAAATCTTACATTTATGATACCTATAGTAGAAAGGTAAGCAGCTTCTGTCCAATTTGTATTTTCTTCAGCAGTAAATAATTCATTCAACAGAATGTTGTCATGTGCAGCTAAGTTTTCTACAAATCTTTTTTGCAGGTTTAGGGCATAGCTGCAAAATGGCACAATATTGGCGGTGCTGTAAATGTGGTGGTTAGAGAACCTTTTAGTTGGATTTTGAAAGTTTTGACCAACACATTTTCTTAGAATCTTCCTCTCAAACGTCTCAATTTCTTTAGCTACATATGGCGAAATGGTGAACCAAATTGGGAATCCATATCCAATAATTGGCCGGATTGCAACTTTATAAAGTAGCAGCTTAGTATTTTGCGGCAGATAAGTATTGCACATTAATGTGGACAAACGTCCAGCAGTTATCTTGGCCTTTTTCAATGATGCTCTGACGTGTTCATTAAATTTAAATAATTTATTTATATGTATTCCCAAATATTTGAAGGAATCTCGGAATGGAATTTCTATGCCATCCAGTAAGAGACGCAGATTCTTCGCTTCGGGAACAACGCTTCTATGACATTTCCCAGATGCGTTTCTAATACATACTGCTTCCGATTTAGATGCGTTTACTGTGATTCCCCATGTTTTATAATATTTACTTATATCGCCAAGGTGAAGAGCGGCTTGCTTTAAGGCTTCAGTGGGTGAGTTATGGTGACTATATACCAAGCAATCGTCAGCATACAATATGGCTTTTGAATTTTCTGTTTGATGGGGGAAGTCGTGAAGGAAAAGATTAAATAGAAGGGGCGACAGGACACTACCTTGAGGAACTCCACTCGATATAGATCCAAAACTGGACAGACAATCATTAATTGTGACAGTAAATTTCCTATCTGTCAAGAAATTTTGGAGAATTTTGATTAAGAATGGGTCCACACTAAGTTGTATTAATTTATAGATTATCCCCTTGTGGTACACAGAGTCGAAAGCCTTTTGAATATCAAGGGAAATCGCTACAGTGCAGATCTTTTCTCTCAGGTTACTTGTTATGTCTTCACGAAACTTCAATAATGCATGGTTTGTTGAGTGTGCCGCTTTAAAGCCAAATTGCCAGTCGGGAATCGGATGTATCACAAACTCATTCTCTAATTTTTCTCGTAGAATTCTCTCAAAAACTTTTCCAATATTGGATAACATAGATATTGGACGGAACTCTTGAGGTGTTATACTGTTTATTTTCTTCTTGATTGGTATAATTTTTGCAATTTTCCATGACTTAGGGAAGTATCCATTATTCAAACAGTTGTTGAATATAATTGTTAAGAATTTTAAAGATTCATCAGAAAAATTCTTTAGTACATAGTTTGATATTCCATCTAGACCGGACGATTTTTTTCTATTCAGACTTACAATGTGCTTTTTTATAGATGAGACATTTGAAAAGTGGTAATTGTCTGAATTGTGTAATGAATTAAATCCATCATCAAATGTGTATATATGGTTAGCAATTGGAGTGAAATAACTTTGTATTCGGGATTCAATGTTAGGTGGTGGTAACTCTGGAATATTTTCACAGAAAAAGTCGCTGTAATAGTCATGGAAGGCGTTTGAGATCTCTCCACCTGTAGTAAAAGCCACATTATCTATTTGTAGCTGTTGGCAAAATTGTGTTTTAGATTTTCCAATTAGTTTGCTGACTTGTTGGAAAGCTGATGGACTGGGTTTTATATTTTTTAATTTAGAGTTAAAAACTTTAGCCTGCTCTTTGTAAAGAAGGTCCCGTATAATGTTTTTGAGTAGCTGTATTTGTTTGGACAATATATTATATTCAAAATTTGTTCTGTTGCCATTTCGATGAAATATTTTTTTAGGTCTTTTTGCCATTGATCTTTTATTTTATAAAACCTCTTTATATTTTCAGGTAAAAGGATTTGCTGATTTTTTACTTCAATTGTTTTGCAGTGCTGTTTGTGTATGTTATGAAAGGTATTTTCAAAGATATTTATGCAATTGTCAACTTCATCATTAACAAGATTTCTGTTTGCAGGTGGTAAAATGGATTCCAATGCAGAATCAAACTGTCGACGAAACATACTCCAATCCGTGGACTTATAAGAAACAACCACTCTGGGAGTTTTGAGGACAATACCACCTGTATTGAACGAAATATCCAATTTGAGAGGGTAATGGTCAAAAAATGAGGGAATACTGGTTATTTTGTAGTTGCCTGCATCAGTATCTATCAGTTTTGAGCTGACCAAAAAATGATCCAAATAAGATGGACCATTAGGGTATGAAGGAGAAGAGTCACATATTCGAGTAACGTCTGTGGCATTATCAAGCAACCAATTGTAAAGTGTCCTTCCATTGGTGTTGTCCATTATATCACCCCATGTCGTGTGTCTAGAATTAAGATCCCCTCCAAAAATGAATCCATCATAATTATTAGTAAACTGCAGACAATTATTTAGACCATTGATTAAGTGTTGTGTGTTGAAATTGGTTGAAATATAAAGCGAACCTAGTAAACATTTCTGCATTGAATTGTTCATTTTTGTCTCAATCTCAATAAAGACTGCATTAAAATTTATATCCTCAACTGTAGTGCGCTTGTAATTGATGTCATTTTTTAAAAGTACTGCCACGCCAATATTTGAGTAGTCATATAAAAATGTGTAACCCTTCATATAAACTTTTTTATTTCTTCGAAGATGGCATTCTTGGATAAATGCAATATCAATTTTGTTTTTGGAGAGATATTTATGTCGCTCGATCTGACGACTGCGATCCACAAGAGACCGGACATTGAAGGTTAAACATTTTAAGAACCTATGGACCATAAGTATCCTTAACTTTTTTTAAAAGACTCATGAATTCGTCTTTAGCTTTACTCTTTGACATATTGTTGAATTCTGCCAGAAATATGTTTATTTCTTGCTCTAGGGTTAGTTCCTCTGGTTGCAAGAAAATAGTTGACAATTTTAAAAATTCGTCAATAATTGATGGTTTACTACTATGGCTCGTCGTATGATGAAAATGACTTGCAAATGTTTTATCTGCTGTAGCATAATTGTTGGAAATGACATGGGATCAGATAGATATAATTTACATTTATTTGTACCAAAATTTTTGATTTTGAAATTAATTGGTGGCGATCTTTCTTCTAATTGTTTAATTAGGAGTAGGACATTGATATTATATAAAAATATTGGTGAGCAAAAATACGTCTCTTCTTTTTTTGGTGACTTTTCTGGATCGATGTTATTGTTTTGCGGTGCTTGTTGAATATTTTCAAATTCCAGATCTGCAAACATTGCATACCTGTTCTGGTTATTAGGATCATATTTGATATTTGGTGTAGAGTCTTCTAACCTTAGACGCTTGCCATAATTGTTGTTTTTGTTTAAGTCATTGGCTGAAACTGGCTGCTGATTATGTGGTAAAGGTCTTCCTTGTTCCATTGGTGCTATTGAATTTGTTGCAGGTATCATCAGAGTGGGTGACATCTGATAGAATACCTGCTAAGGCAGGTTAATTTTCAAAAATGATTTAAATAGTTTCACGAAAATGTAAGAGCGCTTAAAAAATTCAACCAAACGATAAGGGATCTACCGCTCGACCTCCTACGATTCGTTATTATTGGTGGGGTGATTGCATTCGATTGCAATTTAGTATCGAATTTATCGATTTTGTTACATTTGAAAATGTCAAATTTGCCAACTTTAAGAATAAACAAAACATGTTGTTATTTATTTGGTGAAAAAGTGAAATTTTGCAAAAATGGATGAGGAACTGTGTTTTTTTTATGTCATCGTCGGATTCAGCAGATGATTTCGATGTAAACATCTTAAGAAAACAAATTCGCGATAAAAGCAATCCTTTATCTTTGCCAGGAAATATGTAAGTACACTCATTTTAATAAACCACAACCGCTGTTATAGTTTTTCTTCACATTGAAGGTTTGAACAACGCTTTCGAGTTTCAAAGGAAGCTTTTAAATATATTTTGTCAGAACTGCACTTTACTGGCCATATGTCAACAGCGGTATCACCTACTCTACAGTTAGCAGCTACATCACCTGCGGCTAGCGGCAGCTTCCAGCACTGTGTCGGGAAGGACTTTTTGGTTGGTTTGAGCCAAAGTGCTGTGTGCAAAACCGCAGACCGACTTTTAAAAGAAATGAAGAAGAAGTATAATAATAAGTATAAAAATAAAAATAATTTCCAGTTCTAGTGTTTTTATTTCCAGATCCACTTTGTTCACGTTTATTCTTGCCCTTCTGCTCTCATTTTATGGTATTTTAAACGAAGTGGATTTTCAAAGCATGTTCTGTCTCCTTAATCTTAAGTTCTTCTCTTTTATTTCACGAATTGAAATTTATAATTCTTTCAGCTCGGATCTCTGATTTTGTTTCACATTTTTCCAAGAGTGTTCTTTTTGTGACTTTTGACATTTGTTTCGAGGTGCACTCGTGCTTGGAGTAAAATTTGAAATAATAATAATTATTCAATTATTTAATATTTTTAATGAAACTTACATTTTGTTTTTGAATTAATGCACAAATTGGCTCCATTCAGAATTATAACATTATAAATTGTCGTATACGATACAAAAATAGACACGGGCAGAAACTCGCATGGTTGCATTCGACACTTCCATGCCAAGTACTCGATATCGAACGCCGTTATCCAAAAATAAGATTGCGATATTGGAACTTCTCGATATCGTATGCGGTAATTAGACCCCTGAATTTTTAGAGATCTTTAATAAAATCATGTTTGTGATGAGCGAAAACTCAGATATTGATAACAAAGTAATTTTTAATATAGAATTTTGTAGGAAATTCTTATTTTTTTGTTCGTCTTTTTGTCTCTATTTTGTTTCATTTTCAATAGGGTTCAAATCTGGACTTCGGGCTGGCGTATCAATAACTTTACCAGTAGTATAATAGCAAGATTTGCATCATATGCGACTTATAAGAGAGATAATTACCTTGCTAAAATTTAAATTGCGCCCTATTGTCTTCTATGAACCCTACATTTCTAATACTACGGCTAATGTGTTTTTAGAATTCGTAGGTATTGAGTCCACTTTATACTTAGTAAATGCCAAATTCACTACCACACTGATATGATAATAAAAAAAAAACATTAATGATAATAATATCGGCCTTTTTCGGATATATTTAATTGAGAATATATCTTGTATTTCTAATGCCTTGCGCGCACTTTTGTTGGCCCATTGTTGTAATAGAGCAACTTTTTTCACCGCTGAAATTGACGTTATCTAAATACACTTTGGTTTTTAAATATTTATCGTAAAAATAGGCGTTTTTCAAATTTTGTTGCAGAAAGGAGTGGTTTAGTGCGAATTCACAAGTAATTAAAAATCTGCTACAACTGTTTCACTGTCTCCCGCGTCTTTAGATCCGCTTCGTTTTAAAGCTCCGTTAAAGGCACGAGCCCAAAAAATTTCAACCAATCACAAAAATCGTATTTTTTGTATGAAAGTGTGCGTAACTATTGATCTCTTCTATATGTATACGGTAGCATTTATGAGATTTTCGATTAAGATTTAATAACATTTCTATTTTTCTTCGATTTATTCTCTTTTCATTAATAAATTAATTTTCTCTTTCGAGATTACAAAGAAAGAATGAAGAGAATTTTGCAATGGGTATTGCTGCTGACCCGTTTCATCATCCATATTTCATTTAAAATGTCAAAATTGTCAGAAATGAGATTATTTTCAATAAACAAAACCAAAGTCAGCAAAAAGAATAATCTGGGTACTTGGGGAATCTTTTAGCAACAAAAATGTTAGCATATCAAATCCATTGACTTGAGCCGAGCCAAAGACCAAGTCATCTAAATGACAAACAATTCTATTGAAAGAGATAACATTTTGAATACACCCATCAATATAAATGCAAGTTTATATAAATTTCTTTGGGTAAAAGGAAAAACAAAATCATTTGGAAATACTTTCTCATATGTAGGAATCACCTTTCGAATAACTGTTAAGGCTACGGCCTCAATACGCGTGTTATGAAATTGATATTTCGTAACACATGCAACACACTTATTCTAATCATATAAAGACTAGTTTTTAGAATTGGTTTGAGTAGAGTAGTATAGTTTATTACTATCAGTAGCTTTCATCGAGTAGAGGAATATTGCCCAGTTTGAATAGGATTCTACTATTGCCCACAGCAATGTAAACAGAAACGAAATCCCATTTCTAAGGAAATGCCATTTCTAAGTTGTTTAAGTACTTCGCATTTTAAAAAAAAAAAAATAAATAAAAATCCACTCAATATCAAATATAATAAGAAATGTTCGGTTTGACTCCAGCCCAAACCAGTCAACGAATGTATTAGCTGCATTTACGAACAGCGTAATAGCTGCAGGGCTTTGCTTAAAATTACAATCATTCGGATTTGAAATACAGCAGTGTGGGATGCCAGCAGATTTTCGTTGGAAATTTGCAATAGTATAACGGTTGTTGTTAACCGCCGGTTTCAAGCAGGCGTTTCGAAGGGTAATACCATACATTCCACCCAAAAAAAAATAAATAAATAATTGCCGGTTTGAATATCGTATTCTTCAATTTTTTAAAAAAATGTCTATATAATGGCATCATATTCATTCAAAACCACTTTTACAATAAAAGAGCATTAACATGAAAGCATTTGCCCACGTAGCTATTATAAGCCCACCCTGCTTGGGAAGAAGAATGTCGATGTTGACGCAAATCAGAAGGCGAGGACAGCCAAACATAAAACTAAGATGGTCCGGCAACTGTCTTTGAAAAACCAGCAGCACCCAAGTCATTGGTGGATAAACTCGGTATTAAATACCAACTTTATGTTAAGTAAAATCTTAAGATACTTAGAATGTTAGGACATGACAGATTAACTTTAACATTTGTAAAGAGGTATTTTGCGAAGGAAAAAGTTTTCAACTTTTAGAACCAATCATATAAACGGGAAACATCGTAGAGGCTATGGGACTCGTGTGACACTAAACATGTTAAGGAAGAGCTTCGGCAAGGGATCAGACATTAAAGGCACGTATAAAATACGACACTACTTCAACAGTGATGTCCACTTCAGTAAAACAAGAAAATGGAACACAAACAAGTAAAAAAGCTGTAAGTTCGGCCAGGGCGAACTTTTAATACCCTCCACCATTTGGTACAA